ATAACAATTTGCCATGCCGCCAATTCATCAGATATATAAATATGTTTGATCTTGGTCTTCAACTAATATAAATCATGACATACTGGAAAATGCATTTTATTGCGCAAAACCAATATACCATTTCACATTTGTAAAGGAGTATAAGAGAAAGGTATAACAGTATTATACAAGCAAATATTATTTGATATTTTCAATCCATTCAAATTATCTAACCTAATCTATAGCAATTGCTATGAATCTTTCACTCAATTTTCAGAATCCGTTGATTACCTTAGCAATTCCTATTAGTTATCGAATTGCGGCTTGGCTATTGACCTGCTGCTGCCTGGTCGAGTCACGAAGTCAACGCGGGGATGTCAATGGAGATGGAGATGACCTTTAGCCCAGCTGGAAACTCTGAGTTCTGTAATCTGTGCTGCTTGACGGCCTCATAATGAAGCTTTCATGTCGCAATATGAAATGCAATTGCCATGGCTCAAAGGGACAATGGCTAAGAAGCAGGAAGAAGCAGTTGGTTAAAGCCTTTGGATACCTCTACTCTCGCTCTCCCTTTCCCCCTCCCTCTCGCTCACTCTTCTACGAGCTTGGCTTTGCTAAGCCGCCACCGTTGAGGCTCTCCGGCTGTAGGTGGTCCGCATAGGTAACCCGAGAGTTCGACTGGGGCTCCACTTTGAAGTCTTCACATTTGGATGCAGGTGCACTGCAACAATTATGCTCACACATTATGCACAGCGACAGCCGAAGACAACGCGCAGCAAAAGCCGAAGACACGCAGAGCAGGCAGCTGAAACGCGGCAAAGGGAAAAACCAAATGTGAGGTGATTCTAAATTTAGACGAAACACCTAGGGGGACCGGCGATATGCTCCCAGACCCCAGTCCGCAGTCCTCACATCTGGGGTCGCAGCTCTAGGTGATTAACCGCACAAGCACCCAGCCCCAGTCCCAGTCCCAGTCCCAATCCCCTGCCCCAGCTCCAGTTCTCCCCCCTTGCACGAGCTATGGCCAACGCCTCGGGTGACGTTGATTTTTCTTCGGGACGAGGCGACGTCTAATTGCAGCCCGATGCAAACCAAATGCCTGGCGACATCTATTTATACCCTGCACCCAAAGAAAGTGCCTAGCAAAAGGGTATGCGGGATATGTGCTAATGCTTGCAACAGACCAAAGATATATATAGGTAACTCTAACATATTTTCTGAAGCGGATATAGAATTTTACGTGATAGAGACTTAATTCATTTATTCTAATATAAAATTTACTAAAACTAATA